GAATAGAAAGAATATAAAAATGTTATATGTTTTACCTTAATCTTTCAATAGTTCATAATATATTGTAATGTGTGTTGTGAGTCTTTACATGATGTTATGGATGCCAAAGATTTACATGCAAGTATAGTCTCTGTTTGCAAACCGGTTGTCGAACGAGAGCCTGAGCATTGCCAGATGTGACACACGCGTTAGCACGTAGCAAGCTCCGAGAATATAGCACCCATGCGACAACCCATGTATCACATATTGTGTTGGGTATACATCTGTGATTAGGCATATGACAGCGCGTAACCTATCAACAACTGCGCCACATGTTTGTAGTTGCCGCCAGTTGACGCGAAGTTGTTCGCTAAATAGCGAGAGCATAGCGAAGCGTTAGTGAAACGCGTTGTTTGGTAAAGTTGATCAGTAAAGTTATTCGGTAAGTTGTTCGGTATGCCTTCAGCGAACGAACAACTTTCGTCGGTTAATGAATAACTTTTAGCGGACGTTAGTGAAACGCGGCGACGTAATCACACGTGATAAGTATAGCATTTTAAATTGGCAATTTAAAGACGGGTTGTGACTTGTGTGGCGAAGTTTCTTATCATGTTTCCCATGCGTCCGATAAATCACAGACAATTTATTCACTTTTTTAATTATTAATTTTATTCGTTTCATATTAATTCGTCATGGGTGTGATAAATCAGACACAGTTTATTAATTTTCTCAATTTTATACAATTTTGTGCTACTGACTAATGCAATGTCCTATTTCATAACACATTTAACAAATAATTTAGGGCCCAATAATGTACTTTTCTTATTGTTTTATATGAAAACATTAGGTTTCGCCTTGAGTTTTACCAAAAAAAATATTTTTTAAAGTTTGATAGCCTATTAATTTTCATTCTGACACCCAGAAATAAATTCATGCCAAGGCTGTCCTTATGCAGTTCTCTCTTGGATTTCTGTGTACAGTTCGAGTCTGCATGCAGAATCTAGAACCAGGACATGCGTGATAGTAAAATCTAAGCTCACCGTGAAGCATTATGATTATTACGTTCCATCCATCGTGGGAACTATGTAGCATTGTTCCAGCAACACTTCTGTTTATATGTATGTATGTATGTATGAACGGGAACCTTTAGATCGGTGCTTCCCTTTTAATTTTTGATAGTTTCCCACCGGTAATTTCACTTTACCGGGAGATTTTGTTCCGGAGCTTCCAGGCTGATTCTAAGTAATGTTTAACCTGCTTTACCCAATCCCCACAACATCTATGTTCATTTAAGCTAAAGTCACACCAAACTCCCGGACCGGGCCGGACGCTGCCGGACTGATCCGGGGAGAGATCCTTGTTGGGTCCTGGACGGTCCTGGACGGTCCGGGGTGGTCCTTCATGGTCCTGCGTATTCCGGGATATCACTGTTTAACTGTTTAAAATTTCCGGGGTGATCCGGGACGGTCCAGGAAGTTTTCCCCATCCGGGGTGGTCCTTGACGGTCCGTGGCGCGTCCGTGGTAGGTCCGGGACAGTCCGTAGTGGCACCGTTTTGAACCGGGCCTATCCGTGGCCATCCGTGTCGTTTTTGTGGGCCACGGATCACTAAGGATCAAGTCGGACCCAACATGGATGGGAGCATGGATGGGCCAGGACGGGGCCGGACCAGGCCGGATCAGGTCCGTGGCGGTCCGAGGCAGTCCGGGGCGGTCCGGGGCGGTCCGTAGTGACTCCAAATTTCCAAGTTCCGCTCAATCCAGGATGGTCTGTGGCGCTGCCGTGCTGGTCCGGCCCGATGATGCTTTTTTTCAACCGTCTCGTAATTTTTTCACCCGGATCGCCACGGATTATAAATTTTAATATCCGAGGAGATCCTGCCCCATCCGCGATAATCCGTGGACAGTCCGGCCCCAGTGTGACTGAGGCTTTAGCCCCAAGATGGTGAGCATCACCTGCCTTTCCTCCAGCTGTGCAGGGGTGACCCCCACTTCTTGGAGCCTGTCCCACATGATCTCCCTTAGGTGTTTGTATGCCGGGCAAACTAACAGGAAATACTTTAGGTCTTCTGGTTCTCCCTTATTGCACACAGTGCAATTTTCTTTTTGCTTCCCCTAACCATCTCCTGGTTCTTTTATTTACGGGGAGGCATCCCGCTTTATATTGGTACAGCAGCTTACTGCCGATTTTGTTATTATTGTAAAAGGTTTCTTGTTTAGGAAATGTTTTTCCTTTATATAGCTCTAGTGTGCTTTTATTTACCATCCGCTTTCTCCATCTGATTGTGCTGCCTTTTATAATGATTCGCCATCGCCTAGTTTATCGCCAGAATATCGTCAACGTCACACATCTGCTTACATCTCATCTCTCATGCAGGATGGACATTGCATTTTCAACTCGGGCCGTCGCTACTCGGTAAGAAGGTGCACGTCTTCACGAACCACCCCGCGAGCGCCAGCGCGGAATTCGACCGCGGGGAGTACCGTGAGTTGGCATGGCAACAGAAGAGCAGCACCAGCGGCGACGATTCGGACGTGTTCGTCGAGGTCTTGTGCGGTTCGTCAGGATGCTTCAACTACTTCTTTCTGTACGAGGGAGGGTAGGTACTGAATGCGCAGCGACGATTACACACGACTGGTTTTCATCGCTGTACGTTGTTAGAAGTGATGTTTATAAGAGTGTGCTCTGCGAAAGTGCCGTCAGAGTGATTGTCGACCCCCCCCCCCCCAGTTTTATTTAATATGATGCACATCCTTAAGCCCGGCGCACACGTGAGTTATTTTACTCAAGTAAAATGATATGTGAATTTATGCAATACTTTGCTTTTCAGTGGGTCGATTCTGAAGCCGAACGGATCAGGTTACTTTCTTATTGATCCTGTTCTGACTGTTGGTGCAAAAAATGAGGAGATATCACTTGACTGTCTGCAGGTACGTGTATTTAGACAGCAGGGCTCGTGGTGAGAGTATTGGGCTGGGCATGAGCTTGTGGATTTGCCTTTGCTACTTAGCTAGTCAGTATATATTGCTTTTTATGAGATGGTGAAAATTATGTCTTATAAGCACAAAATTTACTGTATGTTGTAATGTCACTCTGTGTTGCGAAAGTTTTACTGCAAAACTGTTTAATTGACTGATGAATTTGTGTACACCTAGGTAATCGGTTTTAATTACAGATTTTATAACAGATCTGTTTCAATGGTTATATGTGTGTAATCAAGAGAAACATATTACTAATTATACAGTTACGTACGTGGCATGCATTTTTGTTCATGTGAATGTGAAATGAATGTAAATTGTAATTTTATTAAATCATACAGTTATGTGTTTACAGGGCTTTGCATTTTCTTAATTGTGTCAACGATTTGTTTCGACAGTGTCAGACTGTGCTGTCAAAGTGCCTGGGTCCCCTGGACGAGTGGGAGGGTCGTCTCATGGTTACCAAGGAGACGGGCTACAGCGCATTTCACTTTACTCCCGTACAAGATCTGGGCAAGTCCAACTCTGCCTACTGCATCAAGGATCAGCTGTCCCTGAACCGAACCTTTCAGCCTGGGCAGCCATCAACCTCGATGAAAACTCTGGCCCCTCTCATCAAAAAGATCAGAGATGAGTGGAAGGTAAGGTGTACAGCAGCTGATGCAGGTTGCTGCACTATTTGCACGCGACCTCATAAGTATCACTCGTAGAAATGCGTAAATAAATGATTATATAAGTGAGCAAAACACTAATTAAACTTAATAAGACTAAATCGACTAACTACATAAAAAAATCTGTTACTACACGTTTGCCTGTGCAGTTTACGTGTCTGCCGTTGGCAGTTTTTAGCGTAATTTTCTTCTTTCTTTCTCTCCCTGTCTCTCCCTCTCGCCTTCTCTTTCTTTCTCTTTCTCTCTTTCTCTCTTTCTCTCTTTCTCTCTTTCTCTCGCTCTCTTTGTGCTTTGCAAGTTTCTCGCTCACGTTTCTCTCTCTCCTCCTTTGCTAGATGCTGTCCATATGCGACATAGTGCTGAACCACTCAGCGAACGAGAGTCCGTGGCTGAAGGAGCACCCCGAGTGTGCGTACAACCTGGTGAACTCGCCTCACCTGCGACCCGCGTACATCCTCGATCGGGCGCTCTGGAACTTCAACAGCGAGGTGGCCGCCGGCAAGTGGGAGGAGCGCGGCCTGTCGTCGCACCTCACTACCGAAGAGGACCTTAGGGTGAGAGCGACGTTCTAGCAGCAGTCGGTGCTTCTTAAATTGACTACGTCACCAATTTTCCATGGTAAAATTTGTAAAAAGAAAATTGCCATTTTTTTACATTAAAAGGAAGAACTAACGATACTAAATATATCCTCAAACTCTCACCTGATAAAAATGTTTTTACGTTGGTTAAATTTGCAAGAATCTAGACGATTTGGTAATTTCTGTTGTCTAACACTATTCCCCCAGTACTGTTCAGATACTGGCATCTCTCTGTTTTTCACCGGCAAATTAGGGCATATAAAGAAGGTATATAAGCATGAAAAGTAAACAGAAACAGTAATTGTATTTCCATACATTTTATTTTGTACAAATAACACACAAATATACTACTTGATGGTGCTAGAAATTCGTGACGTAATCACTTTAAGCTGGTGAATGGTTCACCCAAGGGTGAATAGAAAATGGGTGAAAAACGTGGAAATTTAATCACGGGTGAATGAAATTTTGTGGTCGACGGTGGACGGTCGACGAAACTCGAGGGTGGACGACACTGAAATAGTTTAAGAAGCGATCTAGCTGGCGCGTTGCAAGCGGGACGAGACCGAGTCGAGCGTTGTACTGTAGGGGTAACGAGCCTTCGTTTTATGAAAGCTAGCGGGTGTATCTATCGTAGCCGGTGGAACGTGATATAGCATGTAGTGGAGGTAGCGAGCAGCCATCTGTGTAAATGTATTGATTACAAACGTTGCGCCAGAGAAATATTTAACTTTGCTCGGAAAGCATTCAGTTTGTCGGAAAAATTGCAGAAGGTTGCAAAGCGAATCGTCAAAGCTTTTTGCACCAGCAAGATTCCAGAGTAAACTTTCATCATGTCAACACACAAATCTATGCCTTATCGTGTAGTAAACTTTCATCATGTCAACACACAAATCTATGCCTTATCGTGTAATGCAAATAGTATAGTACTTGGATTGATTATGGGTATAGCCGGCATATCTGCACGGGGGATATTCGCAAGATGACATTACTAAACTTAGATAAAAGATAACAGATTTGTTAACCTATTATTCGACCTCATAAGACCTCGCTCTGTAAGTCCTTTTTATATTTTATGATTGGTAGTAAATAATGCTATGATAATATGGTATATATATAGCAGTCACGTTTCTTGATAATATTGAAATGCCAAGGTGAAGCTGAAGCAGCTGTTTTTTCTTGGTCTATTGTTGGTTCAGATAAGCACGGGGCTTTACATTGTAGCTATTCGTAGTATTGTGGCTGCAGAAGAATCTATGCGGCTGTACAGTAGTCACTTGTTGCAATGTTGTGGGCGCACATGAGCCAGCATTGCTGTACATAACATGAAATGACTTTTTGCAATGCTATACATTCAAGGAAATCTATGGCTGCATAAACATGTTAACATGTAGTTACTACTACTCACTAGTAAGTACTACACTGTAGTAACTCACAGTACAGCTCTATAGTGTTATACTTGCATCTATACAAGTGCATCTGCATTTTCCATTTTAGAAATTGCTGTCCATCTTGCACGATGAAATCATACCGAAAGGCAAGATCGAAGAATTTTTCATACTCAATGTTGAGACACTGGTAGAGGAATTTCGGGACAAGGCGTTAGGTGAGCGTCAACGGTAGATGGCTAATAAAAACTATTTGAAACTTATTATATACCTCCCTCTGATCCTCGAAGTACGCGCTCTTCCCTTGCGGCCGTGCAGCACTGACGAGCGTTCGCTGTCGTGTTTTCGATCTGCTTCTCGCAGAATATCGACAGACAGGGTTACTCTCGCTCACTTGAAAGCTGTTTATCGTCGTCTGTCGGCGAACGTTTCCTTAATGGGCTGAATCGTCTGCGCGAGGCCGGCCTCTGATGCAGTACAATACCATCCAGATATGGGACCATGCGCCAATCGCGTGCCGGAGGGATCTATCCTGAAGGTCGTGCAAGATCCAGCCTTTCGCAGGCTGCAGTGCAGCGTTGACATGAACATGGCACTAAACATGTACAACCATCACACCGAGCAGGCCCTGGCTGAAGAAGACAGGTAAGGGTAGCTTTTGGGGAGATTTGAGGGGTAGGTTGTGGGAGGAAGAAAGAGAGAGAGATGCGAGGACAGTAGCCGTCGTGGGTCGTTAGCGGACCCCGGTGACGTATGCTTGGATCTCTCATCTTTAGACTCTCTCGTTAATAATAATCCGTAGAAATTTCCGCTTTGTACGAGTGAAGATGTCCTTATGTCGGTATTGTGCAGTGTGTACGTACGTACACAGCGACCCTTGGACCCGTTGTCAGAAACATCACAAGCAGTTACATCATCAGTCTAAAATATCATAAACTTTTGCAGTGAAATGTCATGCAAAATGCATGACTGTTTCTAGGCTTATGACAGCTTATCTCTAAACTCACTTATTTTCTCATGTCATGTTTTCGTCATGTAACTAAAAATATTGTTAGATCAAAAGTGGAGGTGCATGTATACACAGAAACCTGATCATATATGCATTGATGCACCAACTCTTTGCAGCGTGGTTATGTGCTGTGCCAGTGTAATGAACCTGAATGATGTACGCTCGATCTTTTTATCACATTACTCGCATATTTCCGCTCCATGTAACTAAAGTGTACATTGCAGAGATACCAACCACTACGATTTATCCGTATTTTATACGAATTTCGTTTGCATTTTGACCACTACGACCAGTTTGCATACAACTACGATTTTTATTACGATCGAAAAAAAATCATTTTGATGATATTTCAAGTGTTTTGTTTCAGTGTTACATTGATATAACATGATTGAAAATAGCTACATGTATTTAGCAGCAAATATCAATGTGAACTTATTGTCATTTTGGGTCCCAGAATGCAGGAAATTGCATCTCGGAATCAAAAATTTTCCGGGGGGGGGGGGCATGCCCCGAACCCCCCTAGCATACTCGGGTCACTGCGTGACTATCGGACTACAGATTTCAGACATCCTCACTACAGTTTGCTCAGAAAAGTGTTGGCATCTCTGACATTGTAACTGTGTGCATTGCCACACACTGCTACATGTACATGTACATGCATTGCTGCACTTTGGTACATGTGCACTTTGGTACATGTGCACGTACATCTACATGGGTTTCCACACTCTGGTACATGTACATCTACATGCATTGCCTCACCTTGCTACTCGTACATGCTATACATCTATATCTTGTCACATCTATATATGTACACATCTATATGCTTTGTCAGACCTTAGTACATGCACATCTACATTCATTGCGACACACTGCTACATGTACATGTACAAGCCTTGCTGCACTGTGGTACATGTACATGTACATCTACATGCATTGCCACACACTGCTACATGTACATGTACATGTACAAGCCTTGCTGCACTGTGGTAAATGTACATGTACAAGCCTTGCTGCACTGTGGTAAATGTACATGTACAAGCCTTGCTGCACTGTGCTACATGTACATGTACATCTACATAAATTGCCACACACTGCTACATGTACATGTACTTGTACATGCACAAGCCTTGCTGCACTGTTGTACATGTACATGTACATCTACACGCGTTGCCGCACCTCGGCACATGCACATCTACATGCATTGCGACACTGCTACATGTGCATGTACATGTACAAGCCTTGCTGCACTGTGGTACATGTACATGTACATCTACACGCGTTGGCACACCTCAGCACATGCATATCTACGTGTACATCTACACGCGTACTCTCCACGTATTCGCAGGGTGGTGATGTGCTGCGCCAGCTTCCGCGGCCGCCTGCACGAGTTGAATCACGAGGCGGAGTTTCTGTGCAGCTGCCACCTGAAGCAGGCGGAGGACTGCCTCATTGCCGCGCAGCGCTACTACCGCCTGCAGGCCGACGGACCCAAGTGGAAGGCGGTCACCGAGAAGCAGCCGATCTCGTCCCAGTAGGTGTCTGTGGTCTAGGGACGGGGGTGGGCAGCGGCGCATGCGCGAAGCGTGCAGAGAAACTGTCAGGTCAAAGGTCGGATCGGACGGGGGGGGGCAGCGGCGCATGCGCGAAGCATGCAGAGAAACTGTCAGGTCAAAGGTTGGATCAGACGTTCGTTAAAACGTGTGTTTGAGCGGACACCTCTGTAGAACGGACACGAGTGCAAGTCCATGACTGACACTTACGAATTCACTTGAACTACGAACTGCCTTGAGTGGGTGTTTTACAGAAAAACCCCTCTACAGAATGAACACCTGTATATAAGTGACTTGCTCGTTTCGTGGGTTTTTCTCGAGTAATCCTCGTACACTCCGTATGTCGCTAAAAAAAAGTGACGTTGTCCGTACGCGCGAGTCGGCACTCGCGTTCAGTTCGCGTGCGTTGCCGGTCGCTACGAGCTGCTGCCTCGGCCGCGTTGCAGGTATTTCACGCACCCGGTGGCCGACACGTGCCTGGAGGACGATGAGAAGCTGATGGACTCGCCGCGCGCCGCGTGGGTGATGGCGCACAACGGCTGGGTGATGAACGACGACCCGCTGAAGAACTTTGCCGAGCTGCCGAGCATCGTCTACCTGCGCAGGGAGCTGCTAGCGTGGGGCGACAGCGTGAAGGTATGACTCCCCTGCCGGGGTTATATTGTGAAGCACAACAGTGTCAAGTGTAAAGACCTGGGTGTCGTGTCACGCAGTGACAGTGTTAAGGAGATTGGGGATGTATTGAGGATTCACAGTGCTAGGGTGTGAGTACATGTTGGTCATGTCGTGTGGTGACGGTGTCGTGTCGTGGTATGCACGTTTCACTACCTGGGGCGGTGGTGGGGGGTTATATCCTTGGTTGACAGTAACTATTCCATTGTAAGAGTTCCGTTTCTTCGCAGCTGAAATATGGAAAACGTCCAGAAGACAACCCGATCCTGTGGAAGCACATGAAAACTTACGTGGAGGAGACTGCGAGGATTTTCCAAGGCGTTCGGCTGGACAATTGCCACAGCACACCCATCCACGTCGGCGAGGTGAGTGTGTGTGCCCGCTGTATTCTGCGGGAATGTTTGCCTTCATTGTTCTGACGCGTGATCGATGGTACAGTAGAACCCGTGTTACCGGGCTGTGAAAAGATGGATGCCTTTTGTAAAGGAAACTGTTGGCATTTTCCTGTTGACTTGAAATTAGTGCAGCAATGAAACGACCTGTATAGAACGAAGGCATGCGTATAGAGGAAACCTTTTAGGGGGTTTCCTTTGAGTGATCCTTATATGCACGTTTTACTTTACTACACTTTGTAAAACATTACTTATGTCAAGGAAGTATTCGTTCTTCTATAACATTGGCACTTATCATTGGAGCAACCTTCAGATCTGTCACGTTATAGAAGCTATGTATAGTAAGGATGAGGGTTTGTGAATCGATCTATCCTCATGAGCAAGACAATCACACGGCTCTAGGATTGTTGTTAGATTCGTGAAGCTCACCCAGTTTATGCGTGTTTTTTGTATCTGCACACCAATACGTTAACTTTGATGCCCCTTCGTTCATTTTAATAGAACACTGGCCCGTGTAGCATATACAGTCTGGGCTTTGTATGATCATTTCTGGTAGAGTGAACATATCTGTGTGAGTATAGTGAAGCACATGCGTTATTGTTAATATCTTTAATTTTGAACCTCAGACTTCGGACTCCCTCATTTTGCTGCGGACTCGCTCTTTTTGAGGGTAGGGAGTCTGTTGGACTCCCTTGTTCAAAAGTTAATTTCTACCCCTGGTACCGTATTGCTAATGCGGTTCGGATCTGCTTGATCTTCTAGTATCTGCTGGACGCCGCGCGTAAGATCCAGCCGGATCTCTACGTCGTCGCCGAGCTGTTCACGTCCAATGAGAAGACGGACAACATATTTGTCAATCGTCTTGGCATCACGTCGCTGATTCGAGGTAGGCTGCTCGCGAACGAACGAACGCTAGTAAGTCCCATGATGCTAATGAATCAATAGATAGATGAGTCACAGCACGTCAGCCACAATTATGTTTGACAGTTAATTGTACCAGTCGGAACTTTTAATTTTAAGATGGAAATTGCTGCTTGTTAAACTCTGCCGTGCCACGCATTATACGCTAGTGAAGTGTGTTCAGTGTTAGTGTCGGGTGTTAAACGATAGTGTCGCATGTTGGTTGTTACATGTGTCACACGTAAAAAGTGAGTTGTGCATTTTCAATACCGGTGATGCGTATTAAAACTCTTCTGACGCGAAAATGTTATGAAGCTTTAGGGATACGTATTCGCGTACAAAGCTGTTTTGATAGTTAAATGCTAACGGTGCGTGTTAAATACTACGTGTTAAAACGCACGCGCCGCATGGTAAACGCCCCCTAGCATTGCGCTCGCTGACTCAGGGTTCGTAGCGGGTCTTCCAAAGTCTTATAAGTACTTATTTTGCCAAAAATAAAATAAGGGCCCTTATTAGTACTTATTTTTGGTAAAATCTTAGAAAAGTACTTAATAGTCCTTATTTTGTATATTATTGTTGTATATATAATACGGAATAATTAAATCTGATGTGCAATTGTGTATATAAATATTATTAGTGTACTTCTATAGTCGGTGATCTATCAGAAATCGCGTAAAAAAGTCTTATTTTGGCCTCCAGAAAGGGTCTTATAAGTCCTTATTTCAACATGTGGCTTACTACTATGAACCCTGTGACTGATTCGCTCGCTCGCTGTCTTGCAGAGGCGATGCAGGCGTGGGACTCGCACGAGCTGGGCCGCATCGTGCACAGGTATGGTGGCGAGCCCGTCGGCACGTTCATGCAGCCGCCGGCGCGCCCGCTCATGCCCTGCATCGCGCACGCCCTGCTCGTCGATCAAACGCACGACAACAAGTGTCCCGTGCAGGTGAGTGTTCGTCTGTCTGTCTGTTTCGCTCTCTGCTTCTGTATCGCTCTCTCTATCTCGTTCTCACTCTTCTATCATCGCTTCTCTCTAGCTCGTCTCGCTCTCTCTCGTCGCTTTCTCTCTCTCTCTCTCTCTCTCCTTCGTCTCTCTTCTTTCTCTCTCCTCTCTCTTCTTTCTCTCTCTTCGCTCTCTCTCTCTCTCTCTCTCTCTCTCTCTCTCTCCTCCTCTCTTCTCTCATTCCTCTCTCTCTCTCTTCTCTCTCTCCTTCTCTCTCTCTCACTCTCTCTCTCTCTCTC